CAACAAGGTAATGTCAGACAAAGTGTACTTCGCTAGGACATAGGTGTGAGGCTTCTGATCGCTCACATCCCCATGTCACCCTTGTAGCAATCGTTGTAGTATTAGTCAACGCAAATTAGCTAAGCATTTCAATGTTAGCCATCAACTATTAATTTTAATTTACGTTGAACAACATCAGTAATTATCAGAAAACGTAGAAAAGCTGTAAAAATTGATAATAAAATTCAAGAAGAAAGTTTCAGAAAAAATTGTGACAAATTATACAAAATAATTTCTCGTAGTTATGATATCATAATAGATGACAATAAAAAATTATTTTACATTGACTAATGCTAGTGTTAGAGAGGTAATCAATATTATTATTTAATTGATCCAAATGCATCATATTTTGATATGAAATTCAAAAAGAAGAAGAGAAAGTGGATGTGACTTGAGAGAAAACCTACACCCACACTCTTGAAAATTCTCGCATCATTCATGAAATATGAATATTTTGTGATGGTAATATTCTTTTGGAGCTGATAATTCTAAGAACATTCTATTTACAAGTAGACCTATCTGTAGACGAAATAAAAAAAAACACAGCTAAGACTAACGAATCAATGCAAATGATCGGTTTTCATTTTAAGGCCCCCCCCCCCACAAAAAATGTCTGCTTTCATCAAAAATTCCGAAATTGAGATAATTGCATGGAAAGATAGCCCGTCTTCAGATCTTTCAGAAACAATATGATTTTTAAACCGACACCCCCGTTTCGGACAAGATTTTTGATGATTTTCGTTAACGTCTTCTTGAAAAATATGCTTATTTTGAAAAAAACGAAAAATGTTTTTCGTTTTCTCTCAGTTTAGGCTTTCTGAACCGCGCAATCCATTTTTCCCTGTCCAGGCTCATTCAATATATTTAAATTTTTCTTTGTTTGAAAGAGCGCGTCAAGATGCAATGCAGTACAGAGTTCTTTTTTAAAACTACGCTTGTTTTTTTATTATATATACAGACACAGACACCCATTTTTGATGCGCGTTTTGAGTCATTGAACTTGTGATCCCCTTTTCCCGCTAAAAAAGTAAGAATTTAAAAAAAAGGACTCTGTACTGCACTGCATCCTGAGATGCTCTTTCAAACAAAAACAAAAATTAAATATATTGAAAGAGCCTGGACAAAGAAAAATGGATTGCCAAATGCGCTATTTTTGACCTTTATTTAGTTCATATATCTGTAAAACATCAGGGTATCGAGCTGAAAATTTTACCACAGCCTCCTCACTTCAGCCCCAACATATGCTCCACGTCGCAGCCTATTTGAATGTTTCTGGGCTGAGATCGATTTTTGAGGGAGTGGAGTGAAGGCCTTAAATGAAAAAAGTTCTTGTGCCACTTACAGAGATACAAAAATTTTTCCTTCTTGATAAAATTGTTTTCATGATAAAAACGTTTTTGTCGATTAAAAAAATATAATTTTTAATGTTCAAAAAATAATCTTTTTTCTGGATGATAATTATTATTTCTAATGTTTAAAAGAAATATTTCTCTCTGAACAAAAAAGTATTATTTTCAGTTTTCAAAAAATAAAATCAAAAAGCATGAACAATAAGTACTATCTTCTTATGAATTAAAAAGGTCGTTTTGATATGAGAACAATAGTTCATATTTAGATCAACTGTTCGACGAAAGTGAATCGTAAGTACCCATGTTCAAATCAACTTCTTCGCATATGTTCGATAGGTCTCGACGACTCGAAATCTATATTCGATGAGTTTGAACAACTCGAAATTGAGACATCTATCGGATAAAAATTCTTTTTTTTGATGAAATTCCGATCCATCGAAAACGACTATTCAAGTGGTTGAAAACTGCTAGTAAAAGCAACCTATCGCCGAGCCCTCGACCCATCGGAAAATGGCACTCCCAGGGGTTGATTTGAAATCTCGATGCCTAACGGAAGCGAAAATCGACGCGTCAAAATACCTATCGAATGGTTGGTTGGGACAAGTAAGATAATTTGAAATTAGTTTCTCATTCCATAGTAACATATTACGAATAAGTCTATCGGTTTTATAATCATACAACATGCCAACTTTGAATGGACGACCGAGGGCCATTATTTTTAAGGCTGGAATCTTATTACCTGATATTTTTAAATCTATAACTGAATTGTGTTGATTTATAATTATACAACAGAAAGATTTTAATATTCTTATGTTAGGAAAAAATAACTTGCCTTTAGGACTTCTTTTCTGACAACGTACTTCAATAATTAATAGAAGAGTGATAAGAATGGTATCTTTCTGTCTATGAAAAAAGACAATAAAAATGTTTTCTATGCAAGTTATATCCTGATGAATTTACAATCGTGGACTATGAAATAATGAAAAATTTCAGATTTATAAAGAACACGAATTGCATATTCAACAATAGGATTCATGCTTGAGCTCAGGGTATTTATAGGCTTAATGATGAACTGATTCAAGTGTCAATTTGAGAAATATTTATAAGCACTCTATTCTGAAGTATTTGGATGAATAAATCATTCATGCATCAACATTTACTGAAAGAAAAGACGGCTGCGGGTATGGTAGAGGGTGAATGGCATATGCCCACACCCACAACCATACTCCAACCCAAGATTTCCGATTAGGGGAAAGAGGAAGGGGCTTCCCCCCACTCTCAAAATTTCAGACTTTCTGCCATCATTTTTGATAACACTTTCTGCGAAAATTTTAAAGTTCAGTTCAGCAGAAAGCTCCTACATTTGTTGAATTAAAACTAAACCAAAGATGCTACCTGCCAAATTCCTCGCAGAAAGTCGACTGTTTTTTTGCAAAAACATCAACTTTCTGCGAAAAAATTATAGATTTTCTGCTAAATTTTTAGTGCCACCCCACTCCCCAAAACAATCGGGAACTCTGCTCCTACCTACAGCCACACCCGTACCCATACCCACACCCACATCCACACTCACACACCCACACCCTAATCTTTGATAATTCTACGTGTCTTCATTAAATATATAACTTCAACTTTTCTCTCTATTTTCTTTAAATATAATTTTGAATAATTCTTTTCAAAAAAAATTAAGTGATGTATTTGTTTTTTCTACTGTCAATATTTGACGAAAGCAATTCTATTTATTATAGATTTCTTTGTATAAATAGAAGATTTATTCTTAACCATAAATTACTTTATAATTAATGTGAACTTTAAAAAAAATAATGACCGAAATAGTGGAACTAGAACAATGATAAATCTCGTTAACTACTCTCTTTTGATTTAAAATGTTTAAGTATTTTCATAGTTTTGAAGACTAAAATCGACCATTCAAAATTCTCCTATAAACAGTTCTTCGCAAACGATTAATCGCAAATATAACTAAAACTCTACTATGGTGGGTGTGGGTGTGGATGCGAGCGAAGAAAAGAGCAAGACCCACATCCACATCCAAAATGAACAGATTTTTCTATTGGTTTGGGAAACTAAGAACCAATAATCTCTAGCAGATTACCAAATGTATATTTCAGACAAATGGATGGCTTCTAAAGTATTCACTCTGTCATTCTTTGTTTAACTATCTACAAGCACAATATAATCAACTTATGGATAAAGATGAAGTAGAGCTAATGAAAATTCAAATTGATACTTGACAAAGAAAAAATTAAGACATTTAAAAATCTTTCAGCCCAATCCCTGCCGGATTAAAAATGTGAAACACAATGGAGCTTTTTATATTGTGAATGAAGGAATTTGGATTTTCTCTGTCACGATCTGTGGGGGGGGGGGGGGGGTCGAAATTTCTACCCTATATACTTCAACACTCCTTTTTAGATCGTGTTTCACAAAAAAGACAACGGTCTATGGTTTCTTACATCATTAACATTTGTCATCAAAGTATTAATTTATCTGAATGATTGCAATAGAAAAGTCTCATGAAAATATTCTCTTTTTCAATTAGACATCTCTTTATTAATTTGTAATCTTTAGGACATTTATTTTGTACACAATAGCTTTGATAATAGTATGGATTCAGAAGCAGAAGAAAAAGAAAAGAAGCATCCTCTTCTTCATTGTCTCAAAATAAAATTGTCATTCAATTGAGATAAATATTACTATCAATAACTAGACTTATTATTCTATTAATATTTAACTTATCAGTTAATTACTAACAACAACTAAATGAATACCGATTTTCATGTATTAATATGTACGATACATATAATAAAAACAAGATTCATTTAACATCTTTGTTAACATTGTTATTTTGTATTATAATTTTAAGATGATCGACAAAATAATTGTCTATCACTTATAGAGCTTATTTCTTTAAAATCGATAAATTCCATAGTGTACAAACATGAGACTAGACAAAAATCTTAGATTATTGAATAAGCATGATTTCTTTTTATTGTATCCACACAATTTTCTTTTCTCTGACTACGAACAAATTTAGTTTATTAAAAAAGAGTTAATATTTCTAGAAATTACAATAAAATCATCAATAGATCGAAATTTCAATCGATGTGTTTTGATTTGTCGTTTTAATACCGATGAATTCTTTTTCTTATTCAAGTTTAATAGAAATGTTTAAATCATTTGAAAATGAATTATTCAAATTGATCAATAGACATTTTAGAAACAAAATTTCATTGTAAATGATTTGGTTTTTTTGTTGGTCAAGTAAACCCACACTCTCAAGTTAAGAAGAAAAGTGAAACGAAGAATATTCAACAAGTAGAAGGGGACCCACTTTCTAGGATGCTATTTTTTTGTAAAAACTTCTGAATATTTTAACCAACTCTATAGACAACGAAACTAAATTGTGAAAATATTTTTGAAGTATACTTGTTCTACATGACCCGAATCTGCTACTTTTTAATCTTTTTCTAGTTAAATTCAAGAAGAAATCCATGAGATAAAACTTTGTCGCTCAACCTTGATAAAGGAATTATTGTTTTTCAAAATGAAAAAAAAACTCGAGTTCAAAAGATACTAATTACTTTAGATTCGTTACATGGAATCTCCATAATCTGTTGAAGTTTTTTGAATGTCTAAAATAGAAGAAATGCGATGCTCGTCTCTAAGATTGGTTTTGTAATTATTCACTTCCCATGTAACCATAAAACGCATCACAACTGGTTCACATTAGTTTAAAAACGCGTTCCAATGCGAATAATTTCATTTTTGCATCGGAATACGTTCATAGCTGGAAATAATATTAACTTAGACGCGTTTCAGTGCGATTGATTTTACTTTTGCATCCGAACGCGCTTACCCTATTGACAGCTAATGCTTTTGAGTTCCAGTAATGCATGTAAATGTAGTTCCTTTTTCAGTTTTGCATAGATAAAATGCATTTGAACGCATTTCTAGCTGCAACTGTATGTGGTGCTATCAATAATGCAGACTACTTTGCCATAGTATACGTGACTAGATCTCAAACAGTGCACTGAACTACGTGTCTTTCATTCAAAAAAACATAAAAATTATATATTTAATTATATAGACGACGTATTCAAGGGTGTGGGTGGGTGGGTGGGTGTGAGTAAAGGGAGGATTAGAACTCATACCGCACACACTCACGCCCACACTCGCCACCCACACCCATGCCCAAAAGTCTTGATAATTTTTCGATCCATAACGTTTATGAAGAGAGTAAATAAAGTATCTCATTTGAAGCAATCTTCTTTGTAAGACGAAACGTATCAAAGTTGCTGCTCCTAAAAATCATAGATAATGTCCATCTGCAGTCGCTTCGCGTCAGTAAATCTTCATAGTCGTCTCTTCCAGTTTTTGTTGAAGACGATGAAGAAATTCTTTGTTTTCTACCACCTCGTGGTGGTCAGGTTCGAAAGCTTGATTTGCAATATCAAAAGCTAATTGCGCGTGTTGAACGGCTTCCTCATATCGATGGAGATTTTCAAAAGCCTCTGCTATATTGTAGTGACTAATATTCAATGACGGATGATTGGGCGGAAGACACTCCTGTTCGATCTGGAGTGCCTTTTCAAGATATGAGAGCGCTGTATTGTAGTCTTTCATTGCCTGATGAACCATACCGATATTACTGTAAGTGGTAGCTAAATCAGGATGAATTAATGGCAATGATTGTTGCTGAATTTTCAGCGCCTTTTCATAGTATAAAAGCGCTTTCGAGTGCTCTGCCGTTAGATTAAGGATAGAAGCAATATTATTATAGGTAACAGCTAGAGAAGGGTGATCTTGTGGAAGATATTTTTCTTCAATTTCTAGCGTTTTTTCGTAGTAAGAAAGTGCTATTTGATGCTCCTCCATGGATTGATAGACTAATCCGATATTGCAATACGTGTTAGCTAACGATTGTTGATTAGATGGATTCGCTTTCTCTTGAATTTCGAGTGTTTTTTCGTAGAATGCAAGTGCTTGCTCATAATTTCCTAGTGAGTTGTTTAATGAACCCATATTACTGTAGGTAGTTGCAAAATCAGAATGACCAGAGGGGAGCGATTTCTCTTGAATTTTGAGCGTTTTTTCGTAATATAGCAATGCTTGAGAGTATTCGCCTAGTGAATCATGCAACAAACCAATGTTATTATAAATACCTGCTAATGATGGATGATCGGCTGGAAGAGATTGCTGTTTGATTTTCAGTGTCTTTTCATAGTACGTAAGTGCTGTTGAATATTTTCCCATTTTATTATACACTAATCCGATGTTGTTGTAGCTGACAGCCAGATCTGGATGATTAATAGGAAATGATTTCTCTCGAATTTCCGCGGCTTTTTCAAAATATTTTAGTGCAGTCTGATATTCTCCCATTGATACATAAGCGGAACCTATATTAATATAAGTAATAGCAACTGACTGATGTTCAAGTGGGAGAGATTGTTGCTCAATTGTCAATGTCTGTTCATACTGTGAGAGTGCTTTTGTGTATTCTCCCATCGACTGATAGATTAGTCCTATGTTACTATAAGTAGCACCTAAATCAGGATGTGTTGATGGTAAAAATTTTAGCTGAATTTCAAGTGCCTTTTCATAACAGAAAAGTGCTGTTGATTGCGCTCCCATTTTGTTATGAATTGCACCAATATTGTTATACGTATTAGCTACAGTAAGATGGTTGGGTAGAAGAGATTTCTGCTCGATTTCAATCGCTTTTTCGTATGCTATGAGTGCCTTCGAATACTGTCCCATTAAATTGTAAACAGAACCGATGTTAATATAGATCGTAGCTCTGTACGGATGAATAATTGGAAGTGAATTTTGTGCGATTTCCAGGCTCTTTTCGTGATACGAAAGTGCTTCAGTATATTTACCCATTTCATCATATAACACACCAATGTGACTATAGGTACTGACTAAATCAAAGGGTTCGAATAAAGATGAAGTTCGCTGAATTTCAAGCGTCTTTTCATAATATGTTAGGGCTTGTTGATAATCTCCCATTGAGTCATAAACATCACCTAGACTTCTATAAGTGTGCGCCAATGCTGGATCATCTGGTTTGAATATTTTCTGTTCAAATTCAAATGTTTTTCCAAAACAAGATAGTGCATTATTTAAATCACCCTTTTCTAGCATTACAACTCCCATTTGATAATTCAAAAAAGCCAACAAATATTCATCATTGTCTGAAGTTCTGTTCAGTAAAATTTTTAAAATTTCTTGCGCCTCGTTATAATGTCCCATTTTCATCATTAAATGACTCAAACGATGTAAAGGTGTATCTCCACTAATTTCTTCTCGTGTATATTCCGTTAAATGTGACAATAATGGATCATTATCATTGGTTAGTTTCAACTTAATATGCCATAATCGATCTTCAATTTGTTCTACGTCATCAATTCGAAATACGCTATGCATTGATATTAGTACCTCTTCTTCTTCATTTCTATAAAAGCTATTTTCATGTACGGAAGCAAAAGGAGCTGTTGAAATCGATGGATCAATTACTATATTGAAAATAACTCCAGTCAGATCTGGATCCTGTCTGGCACTGTCTGCATAAAGATAGCCCACTTGACGATCGACACTGGTTGACAAGAAGTTGTTAAACGAAAGAAGGCCTCCTTTGTTTTTGTTCACTCTATCAAACTGCGTGTGTGACATACCCTGTCCTCGAAATAGAGTTATTGGATTGCATGGCTTCGATTGAGAATATAATCTTGCAATTTGACAATGAAGGTCACGAAGAAAACAACCCATTTTCAAAATTGTCTCCGTCTCATGAGTTCGTAAAGCTGCGTTCAACGTCCAGTATAGAAAGCATTCACGAGTATACCACCAAATAGGTGATGGCTTATCATACTGTTCTTCGAATTCAGCAATTATTTTCATTTCTGTTTTATTGTCAGCATATTTTTTACGACAGAAGTCGACAAGAGCTTTTTTTTCGTTCTCATCACGTGGCATATCAATGAGAATCTCTTTTAACAATTGAGAATACATAAACGATGGATCAAGTTCATCGAGATTAGTAGTGGATGCTTGTGAAACGACATTGATAGGTATCAGATTTCGGTTGAAAAGATGAATATCTTGTTTGAGAACCTCACAGATAGTTTCTGTGTCAGTATATAGACCTTTAACTTTTCCATTCACCTTGATCCGTTGTTCTCCTATCAACTTTTCGTGACAATATATATAAATCGAATTAATTTGAGTGATACTTTGAATGAGAGAGATTGATTTTTCGTCAATTTTTTGCGAAACGATCAGAAATGCGGTTTTTTCTTTGAGACTCGTGATAAATTCAACACATTGATTAACGTTAGAGAATATCTTGGTCAAATTAATTATACCTTGAAAAGCGGTCGTCGATGTTTGGTAAATCTCTTCAAAATTATCGGTATCACAAATCAACCATAGAAGCTTAAAGGTTTCAACGGCATTGGGAATCGAATAACGTGAGAAAGATCTTGCACTGTCATTCGAAGTCGGACACCGCTTTAATCTCTTCTTGTTTTGATTGTCGTTAGCGATAGCTCTTTTTAGTGTGATTGTCGATTTGGATGAAGTACTCAAACAGTCAGATTGCGCCATATTAATAACTAGCAATGAACTGCGATATTCAAAATTACTTGCCAAAGTTGTAATGATTGTTCTCTTGTTTGTCACTGCTCTTTTTCTTTCATAGTATAGTGAAGTTGGAAATTTATTTTTTCATTGCTTTTTTCTTCTCCGCCGATCTCTGTACGACAACACAGAACACGAAAGAAAAAAAGTACTGCAGTGTCAGCGCCGTTTTTATGAGCTTTAGAAAAGCAAAAGAACGGAAGAAAATAGAGCAGACAAATGAAAAGTGGACACTTCGATAAATTTATATGAAATGAAGCGAAAAAAGAGAGTGTACAATAAAAAGTAAAAAACAGAAGATACTCCCTATTCCATGATGTTGAACATCACAGAACTAGCTCTGCCGTCGGAATCAGTTTTCATCGATTCCCAGAATTCCAACTGCTTAGATAAAATGATAAACTTTAGATTTATCAGCATCAATGAAGTCTTAGTTAGAAACTGCGGGAACTAGAGTGTGGGTGTGGGTGTTGTTGTTGCTAAAAGAAGATTAACACCCACACCCACACCCACCCACACTCATATGCTCCAAGTTTCAGTCCATTTGAACGTTCCTAGACTGAGATCGATTTTTGAGGAGGGGGAAGGCCTTAATCAAACACTTTTTAGTAAAATCAATGGATGATATATAAAAGAGTAATGTATTTTCCGTCTCAAGCCATTCTGAACTCCTGATATGTGTTCGGGTGTTCAGAAATGAATTTTTGTCCTTAAAGATTTATAATCGGAGTTCGTAAACATTTTTGTACGGAAGATCGTAATAGAAAAGCAGAGAAATCGGAATGATGTGACAGGGTGTTCGGAAGTTTTCATTACAAACTTCCGGACTTTCTCATTCCAATCTCCAGTCAAAATTTCGCTGTTCAATCACTAACAATAGGTTATTAGAGTTCGCCACGAAACTCTTTGATAAATTTCACTTCGAACATCCTGTTTTTTGTTACATTTCATTGACTTTTGCTATTGAGAACTCAATTCCGAATCTCTGTCGTTTTTCTTATATCCGGAGATCGTAACGGACTACTCCAACCGGAGTTGGTAATGAAAAAGTCAGATGAAAAGTCATTTTCCTATATAAAACGACCCGATCTATTTGTAATGTGTCATCTACTTCCAAGTAGATTTTTTAGTCTATGACTTTTTTTATTATAATTCTATTAGATCTTACCTATCTTTTTCAAAAAAAAAACCTATAGAAAACCGACAGTGAACTGAGCATTTCTAGAGTTATATTTGCTGGTGGAAATTCTGACTGTTACAGTTTTTTTTCAATATGAAAGTTTTGTTCAATCAACATCATTGAAAATAATTTAGATAAATAGTTTCTATTTCATTATTTTATGAATGACAAAATGTTTACTTGTTTGTAACAAAACACATTATATTACAATTCTTTTTCTTTCAAAGAATAAAGAAAATCTATTGAAAAAATTGTGCTTTGACAATAACCTTCAATTTTCTCGTCAGAAGAAAAAAAATATTACTCCTTTTCTCTTCCTCATTAAAATATTTTTTTTTTTTTGACATAATTTACCAAGCAAAGAAAAAGAGAAAGAAGTAAAATGAAACGATATTCTGCTTGTCATTAAAGGTTACCTAGGAGAATTTTCTTTTTCTTTATCAAGTTGATGAAAGCGTTTATACTTCTTTTAGTATTCATTCCTACTTCAATCAAACGTTGTTTTTGGTAAGAAGAAAAAAAAACCAATATGAGTAAAGAAGAAATAAAACGAGTTAGTATAATATTCTATTGTTATTATTTTATTTAAAAAACAAAAAACAACTATCTATTCAGTTATTCAAACAATTTGATAATGGTAACGGTCATTTATCATTAGCTGAAATCGATCGAGCTGTTATTCATTTTTATCCACAATTTGGTACCAATAAGAAAGCAATTATGCGAGCATATAAAGCAGCTGATACTAGTGGTGTATGATAAGACAAAAAAAA